CTGGAGTCCAGCAGGTCGAGGCTGCGGTGGCCGGGAGCGGCCACTGCACTCCAGTCTAGGCGACAGAGTGAGACTCCAACTTGGAAAAAAAAAAAAAAGAAAAGAATCCAAAACATACTCTAAAATGTAAGGTGCTACTGACAAATGTCCCACCTCAGATTCTCAAAGGCCATGGCTACCATATGTTCTTCCCAAAACCGGAGCTTTTTGCCAGCTTTCAATTTTTGAAAGTATCAAGTGAAAGTCAAAATCTGCCCTGGCTGCAGGCAAAAGAGTGCCCAGTTGGAAGGTGGTAAAGCTTAGGTTTGAATCCAGGGTTGAGGAACCAGAGTGAATTGACCTGAAATTCTCAAGTTAGCAGAGATCACCCAGAGGCCCACATACACTGAGGCTGTGCCTAAGGACAACCTCCAACACTCCTTTTCTAAAACATTACAGAGGGCCTGAGCAGATGTAAAGTGAATGGAATGCTGGTGGTCAGTTCAGTGGATCAACTCAAATCCAAACTGAGACCTTTTGAGTCAGCAAGAATACATGTTTGTTTGTTTGTTTGTTTAAGATAATCACTGAGATTTCCACAAATAACTCTCTCAAGACTGGGCCCATATTCCTTTTCTGCCATTTACTATCTGTGCCACCTGAGGCCAGATACTTCATGACTCTGAGCCTCAGTTTCCTCATTTATACACTGGTGATAAAGTCTCATGGGGTTATGAGAATTAAATTATGTACAATTGCCTTGCACGATGCCTGGCTTACAGCAGGTCCCCCATAAGTGTTCGTGCCTTTCACATCTCAATTTGAGGACACCAAGGGAAAAAGGAGACAGAATCTTTTCCCTCCCATGCCCAGGCAATATAGACCAGAACCAAACAGATTTCTGCAAGTGAGAAGAAAGGTCCCAAAATGAATTATTTAGCTAATCAATGGTCTAAGCTGGGTGCAGTGTGCACTTATAGTCCCAGCTACTCAGGAAAAATGGGAGAATCACTTGAGTTCAGAAGTTTGAGTCCAGCCTGGGCAGCACAGCAAGACCCCATCTCTTAAAAAAATGAACAAAAGCCGGGCTCGGTGGCTCAGCCTGTAATCCCGCGCCTTTGGGAGGCTGAGGTGAGTGGATTGCCTGAGCCT